TTCCGATTACAGCTGTACACAAAAGAGTGGAGTCCAGTTACTTCCAGTTATTTTCACAAGTTTATTATCACCAAAATAGAACTCATGGATGATATTACCTTGCTACCACCACTTCATCTCTTAGCAATGCTGCACTTTAGAGGCCTAAGAGCAAGTCCCATGCAGAACGTAAATATGGCCTTATTTGGAAACATACCCTATTCAATATACTAAAGGTATCTGCAGTTGTCAGTGACTAATTTGCTGAACTACTTAGGATACAAACCTTTTTAAAACAGAAGAAACTTCCATGGCTTTCTTTTTTTCGCATTTATATTCATTATGGATATGCCTCGAGTGGCTTCTGAATTTGAGCTACTATTGAAAGGTCAGCTCCAAGGAACTGTCTTAAACTGAAGCATTTGTAAAAGAGCCTCCTTCCAAAACCTGACAAAATCGGAAGTTATAGTATATACAAGCCAGAGAGCTCTCACTCAGGATTTCCGCACAAACTCAGATTCATTGCTTCATTAACTGTGGTAAGAAATCTATCACTTAAATGAACCCAAGTATCAAAGGAAAAAGTAAAAAATGAGAGCTGTTACATTCAACAACAGAAACAGAAGAACAGTAAGACTGAGTGTTTCAGAGCTGACAAATTGATTAAAATTAGCAGACACAAATAAATGCAATCTACTGAGGAAGAAACAACCTTTATCTGCATAATTCATGCCTTGCAAAGTAGTCTTTGAGAAGTAAATGACAATATAGATGAGGATTTGCCAACCTACAGAGTGCCAAAGTCTTTGACAAGATCCCTTGTCCATCCAGAGAGTTACGACAGCTCTCCTAATGCATAAGAGTGTTATGCCACAAGTACTTATATACATGAGCCAATACATGTCCAAGCAACAGCTCTCCACCCCAGTGAAGTTAACAAGGAGTTTACTAATAGTTATCTAAAATATTTGCAGCAAAGAGTATCAGAATGGTGGGAAATACTGAGGAAAGGGAAGAAAATCATAGAAAGTGTCATAAAGAACAGCCATGTAAAACAAAATTAATTGAACTGAAAGGTCCTGGATATAACTCTCTGTTTAGTCTAGCCATCAAACAAGCCCACTTACACTGGCCCACTTTCTGTTTTGCCAGGAGACTCCACTGGCAGTTACAGGGCATGGGGCCAAACACACAGGGCTTGACTGCTACCAGTAGGAACATGAAGATGTTGTTTTTCTGTCTTCAAGTTGTTTCCCCTCACTGCCCTTCTAAGGAAGCCACAGTTGGACTGCCAAGTCATTCCAGCATACCCATACAGGGACTCTGTTGAGGTCAGTCTCTGACTGGGAAACAGGATTCCCACGGTTCTGTATTTAGCTGTTTCAGTCCAGGCTGTGCACTGCTGAGCAGAGGTTAATGGATGAGAAAGGGTGTGTAAGAAGTTTCGGAGCCTGTCTGAGGTTCTGGTTTCTCAGTCAGCTTCAGCTGGCCTGAGTGCGTGGCTGCCTGCCCTCTCATCATCTCTCTATAACCCTTCCACGGCCCCATAAGCAGGGGACCAGGGACTTAGCTGGACCTGAGCTGATCATGAAGCCACGTGCTGGTAGGCACGCAGAGGAGAAGCTGCAAGGATAGTTAATTCAGGGATCACGATGCACTAGGGTGCGGTAAGCTGGTGCAGGGCTGCAGAGGCTTTTGGGAAGACAGAAGGAACATTTAGTCTCCTAGAGTATTACTGTACTCAAGCCCTGCACTTCATTAGCACCTTCTTCATACATCACAGTCACAACCTTGGCATCTGACATTTTGAAACTACCTGCATCCAGCTGGCAGAAGATGACCTGTGTCATTGCTATTTCTTCACTGCTGAAACAATTGAACCTTGGAACATCATTCTAGTGAATTTTAAAAATCTTAACAAAAACCAAACCAGCCCTAAAGATGATGTAACCTTTGTTCAGCTGAAGAGATTTCTGGAACCATACCTATTTACCCAGTTGAGCTCATTGACTTCTATACATGAAGCACTGTGAGAATGACTCAAATAACAGTACGGTCTTCTGCTCTGAATGCAAAAGGAGCCAAACTGCCTCATAAATGACTGTAGATAAAGACTTGCCTCCTAACTGACATGGACCAAAAATGGATTATCAAAAATTAGGGTATATGAATCCACCTAGTCAGGCTGCTGGCACACTTCAAAATCCAGCTGAGACTCCTGGCTCCCAAATGATTCTCAAATCACCCTCGAAAATGTCAACAAAGCCCTTTATGCAGAATACACTTACTTTCAAAGGTAACTCATTTTGTGAGTGCAATTCTCATGTTATTGTTTACCAACATAATGTAGGTCACTTGTTTGGCAGCCTCCATGTGTCACTGGCACATCAACAACACAGAAAAGCTTTCTGGTCAGCTGTAGAAACCAGCAACGAGGATGACCAAGACACTCCCAACATCAGAAGGTTTCCAGAGCTGTATGTGTGATAGCTCTATTTTGAAATATTAGATCTCTAGACCGAATGCTTGGTGACACATTGTTTAAATCAAAGGACACGTCTCTTGTGCTCAATACAGACACGAGTCCCTAACCCATGCTCACTACTGGGTTAAAATAGTGAGTGTAATTACTTAGAGTAAGTGTGTGTCATTATTCAGAGTAAGTGTAATCTCAGCACATAGACAAAAATTCTCAGAATTTATTATTCTGAAAATATGACCATCTCTTTTTTTATACAGATAAGATTATGCTCCAGGAAAGGAATGTTACAGTCATATAAAAAAAAAGACTTATTCAGAATATATATATATTCATATTTTAGGTGTCCATTGGATTTTACAAGGAAAGAGCTCACTAATATAATAAGACACCCCAACTCCCACAAATCTACATTTGGGCTTGAACAAAAGAACTACGGCTAAAACAGCAGCAATATTAGCACATCTTCTCGAAAACCATTCCTGAAAAACAAAGAACCTACACACTAGTTCACGCAGAAAACAAAATGTCATCTGCCGCTTTCTTTTCATTCAACAGTGCTCATTTTCCAAAGCCGCCTGATAATAACAGACAGGACAAAAGGGGTCATTCTCATCCGCTTTGGGCAAGGGATGCCAAATAGAAATTCTAAGCCCGTCAGCTCAACACAGCCTGACTGCTAAGCATTAAGCAACCGTGACAAGTGCTGGCCGCAGGGATACTTTACCTCACACAGAAATCTTTTTCTTGTGGACATCACAGGAACTTACAGTGTTTTAAATGGCCCTGGCATGTCCCAAAATAAGATAATGTGTAATAGATGGAATAAATCTCCTATTAGAAGTCATTTGGAAGAATAGCGTTCAATTGCAGGCAAAGTTTCTCCTGCTGCAGCCCCCAGATTAGGCCAGCCTTGGACTATTGTTCCAGCAGAGCAACAGATGGAAAGAAAGCCTGAAGGAACAGATTTTCAAGAGTTCAGCTCCCATGCAGGGACCTGCTTTTATGGAGGGATTTTTCTGAACGGCTCAGCACTTAGGAGTACCTGTTTTTCCTAAAAGAAGCCAAGCTGTTTTTAT